GAGTAAACCCAACTTGTCATCCCAAAGCCATCACCCATTATCATTTCTTGATTTTCTGTCATCATGGAATTTTAATTTTAAAATTGCATTATCATACAACTTTTTGGCTCTAGGGTAGTCTGTATGTATCCTTGAAGTAAGTTACTAAGAAAATTGAGTCATCCTTACTATTACTCTGTAATGGTGTGGTCCACTGATTCCCAGATTGCCAGCCCCCTGGTGTTCCTGGCACTTGAACAGCTCAGTATTCATTGAGCTTTAATGCATGGTGGACACTCCTACAGGCACTGGGGACAAAGCAGTCGAGAAAATGGACAAAAATTCCTGCCACCACAAAACTTACATTGTAAATTAAGTTAACATGTATAGTGGTAAGTGCTAAGGAAAAAAAAAAAAAAGGACAAAAGAAAGAAATGGAAATGGGTGGGGTTGAACTTTTAGACAGGGTGGCCAAGCACAGAGTCCTAGAAAGAGGTTATGTGAGCAGAAACCTAAAAATGCAAGGAGCCCTGCCACACATTAGCTCTAGAGCTCATTACTCAACTTTTCTCTTCCTCAGTGTCCTCATCTCTCAAATGGGAATATAAGAGTATCCTGGGTCTTAGATTAGCACTGAAGCGTGGAAAAGAGTGATGGGTATATCAGAAGCACTGGGCAAGTTTCTAATAAAACAGAGACGAAGACTGAGTTGGGGGGTCAGAGAAGCTATATAAACAGAAGCTTAGAGGGGTTTTTTTGTTTTGTTTTTTTTTTTAAGATTTTATTTATTTGACAGAGAGAAATCACAAGTAGGCAGAGAGGCAAGCAGAGAGAGGAGGAAGCAGGCTCCCCGCCAAGCAGAGAGCCCGATGCCGGACTTGATCCCAGAACCCTGAGACCATGACCTGAGCTGAAGGCAGAGGCTTAACCCACTGAGCCACCCAGGCGCCCCGAAGCTTAGTTTTGAAGTAAGCTAATTTTGGGGAAAAAATCTTCAAGTTTATGAATAGGCAACCTGCTGTTCAAGAGAGGGGCTGGCTGGAGATCACATAATTAATCCTAAGCCTACACCCAGTATTTAAAACTGAAATAAATCAGTATAATTGTAGAAAGAGTTTGTTCCTGTTGTCTTTCTTTTTATCCTCAAATGGATTTATAAAACGCTAAGTTGAACAAGAGACTCAAAATTTTGTTGTTGTTGTTGTTGTTCCTAGACATCTTAGAACAGATGTACATGTTAACATTAGGCATGAGTCTCCAAGACACAGGCCACAGACCTCTTCAATTTCTTCGATTAGGACTGTTTAGAAGAGCACTGTTGCGTAGAACACAGTTTGGGCCTAGTATTGTTTGAAAAATCAGTTAATTCTTGCAAATCACCAAAACTTCAAAACTCACAAAACTTTCAAAATTCTGCAGAAGTTATTGGTTCATTGTTTCACAGTCATAGTTTTATATCCATAGAAAAGAGCTAACCAAAGTGTAGATGTGAATAGTTTTGTAAGCAAAGTGATAGTTTGCTTTTAACAGTTTTCCTTCCAAATTATCTGCACATTGGAATCGTGTAGAGCTTCAGAAGCAGACTGGTGCCTGTGTCCTACCTCTAGAAACTGTGATCTCGTTGGTTTGGACTATAGTCAGGGCATCGAAAGTTTTAAAATGTCCGGAAGTAAATCATACTTCCATCCAGACACTTTAGGGAACCACTCCCACTAAAAGGAATCCCTTTTGGACATCATCTTTTCTCTGCCCCTTATCTGTAATCTTTAAAAGCCATTTTCTTCTTCAATTAATTAAGGATCCTTATTTGGATAGTGAACAGGTGGCTTATTCATCAGATGTTTATGCGCTTAGTATTTGTTGCCATATCATTGTGACATCATGCTGTTACCACTAATTTTCAACACAAATGACTAGTATAAGACAAGTCTGCTTTTAAAAGGTAAGTGGATACTTAGGTTAACTAAATTATTAATAAAATTCAAAAACTAAATTATTAATAGCATCTTTAACTGATATAGTCTCTAAAAATACCTAATAGTCTTCAGTCAAGATATAAAATTTTATCAGAATCAGCTAGGGCCGTTTATAATTCTTTAGACATTGGCCTTCCAGGATGGCAGTGCCCATGAATACTATGGCCCTCAAGAGCCACAGAACTTCCGCGTGAAGACCCAAATGCCTTCGAGATCTGTGTGAATCTGTTGTAATCAATTAAATCAACTACTGTTTATTGAACACATACCAGGCACTGCTCTTGGCACTGGGGATAGATAGGTCAAGTAAAAAATCACTACTCTTACCAGTTTAAGATTACATTGCCGTAGAGGAAAACTGACGATAACGTGTAAAGCAAACAAACGAATAATATAGTTTCAGACTGATAAATGATTTAAAGACAAAGAAAGCAGGGTGAGGTGACCGAGAATGGTAGAAGGCAAGGTGGGGAGGGGCGGTGGTTGATGGGGTGGTCAAAGACCTCTCAGAGGAGGTGACCCTTGAATCCTCTGAGTGACGGGAGTGAGGAAGCCATGAGATCAATGACAGAGTCACCTATGCTGTGGGAAGAGCCAGGGCAAAAGCTGGCAAGGGAGCAAATGTTCGATGCATTTCAGATGCAGAAGAAAGCTGGGGTAACAGAGTGAAATGTAGAGAGCAAGCGATAGGTGAGGTCAGAGAGGCAGGCAAGACCCAGACAATAAATGCCAGCATCTGACAGGCCACAGTAGGGTTTTTTTGTTGTTGCTTGTTCCCCTTTTATCTTGTTGTGGTTTTTGTTTGTTTATTTTTTGTTTTGTTTTTTGAAATGTTCTGGAAAGCCATTGGAGGCTTTGCCTGGAAAGCCCAATGGCCTACATTTACATTTACATTTACATTTACATTTACAGTGATAAATTTGGGCTGATATGTGAAGAGTGGTAAGTTATAGCAAGACAAGGGGGAAGCGGGAAGACAGGAAAGGAGAACCATGGTCTAGGCAAGAGTTGACGGTGGGGCAGAGAGGCAGAGTCAGACCGTGAGGTCTCCCATGCAGAAGACGTTGTCGATGCTGCCACGAGAGAGGGTTTGCTAGTGGAGCTTTGCTGTGAGGACACCTAACTTGTACAGACAGGTAATCAAAAAGTTTGTCACAAAAGTTTCAGAATCTTAGGTTAAAGCTAGAGTTAAAGTAATAATTAATGATCTTTATAAAGAAATTTCCTATGTAACCGAGAAATACCTTCCTTTATGAAGCCATTCTCTTTTATACAGGAAAAATAGTTTTTAATAATTGGAAACCTGAGTTAGCTTGCCTTTTCTTCAGTCTTAGGGTGTTTTAAAATCTTCAGGAGCCAGAATCACCAAAATGATAGCTTTCAGTAAAGCTATCTGTAAGAAATTGTGATAGGCATAGCAATTTAAGGTTACCACTGTGATGAATAATTTGACCAGAAGTTATGTTTGGAGCAGTGAGAATTCTTCTGTCACTTTGGGCTACTTACCACGATGTCTGGATTGATGATTTTTCTACCCACAGGGGTAGAGGTGAGAGGGCTCACCATCCTCGCCATCATGTTCTCTTATCGTCCCCTAGTCTCCCCTGCCTGTTCTATCCTGCTCCTCTCCCGCACACCTCGGGATTGATCCATATCACTTAGAGCATCTGAGGTGGGGGTGGGGGTAGTTTGACTAGTACTTCCACCCTCATGTTAGACATTATAGGTGAACTTAATAATAAAGAACCTAGATTTTGGAGCCACAGTGCATTAGGTGTGAATTCTATCCACTAGTTACGAGTGTAGTGATTTGGCAACATCTTTAATCTTTCTAAACCTTCACGCCGTGCCCTCATCTGTAAAATGTAATGATTCCTAACATCAGGTGAGGTTAATTGAGATTTTGAATGTAAAGCACCAGACTGACTTTAGCAGATGCTGAATAAGGGATAGCAATCATAATTGCAACTGCATTTTCCCCCGGATATCTTTATTCAGTAATTTTTGTATTTTTAATATAATATTTCCAGAGCAAAGGCATTCAAATCAGACTGCCTGGATTTAAATCAGAGCTCTACCACACAGAAGCTTTGGGACCTTGGATACATTTTTTAACCTCTCTCTCATTTTGTTTCCTTATCCATGAACTGGTTAAAATATAGTTATTGACTCCATTGGATTTAGTGAGGATTAAGAAGCATAAGGTATAGAAAGAATACATGAAGGTATAGTACTTGGCACATATAAGTACTATTTTATAACTCAAAGACTGTAGACAATAATCTCTCAATTCCTTATTTCAAAATTATAATTAAAAGCTAAAGCATTATGCCTTAATTTTCTGTTTTCTTTCTTCATAAATCTGGTAAATTTGCATGATCTGAGCCAGGGTATTGTTTAAAATGAGTAGTTTTTTTATTCTGTCGGTCATAAAATGAAGTTTCCATATTATCTGCTTAATTGATCCATGTAGGTAATCATATTATTGGCTTATTTAGCACCTCCTAGTGAAACTCAATTATTTTGTTTGCCTGTCTGAGAAAGAGCAAACTAAAACTTTGACAAAGTTGTCAAATGTATTTTCCTTCTGAGTTGAATGTTTACTGTTTTTTTCCCCTGACTTTTTTTTTTGTTTATCCTCCTTACCCTTTTCTCTTTTCATGTCTTTTGATACATCTGATTTCCAATTCTATTTCTTTTTCAGTTCCTCGCTGATAAAAACTTAATACCAGCAATAAGTAAAAGCTACTGTTAAAAGTTGAATAGTTTAATTTTCAAATAGAACTTGCTGGGTTTTTCCCATTAATCTTTGATATTATTTCCAATAGGATCATTTCCTACCATTCCCAAATTGGTAATCTTGAGCAAATAACTAATTATTCACAAGAAAGGGTATGGTGCTGATGGCGTAAAGTGATTTTATTATTGTATATTAATTATGCTGGTAACATCACTTTTGTCGTTGGTGTTAATCTAGTAATAATACTAAGCTCGTTATATGAACTTTACCTTGTTATATTAGTGGGGCTTTCTTTCGTTTTATAGCTGGCCTAAGTCCTGCTGAGATTCAGCAGTTATGGAAAGAAGTGACTGGAGTTCACAGTATGGAAGACAATGGCATTAAACATGGAGGGCTAGACCTCACTACTAACAATTCCTCCTCGACTACCTCCTCCACCACTTCCAAAGCATCACCACCAATAACGCATCATTCCATAGTGAATGGACAGTCTTCAGTCCTCAGTGCAAGGCGGGACAGGTAAATCTCATGAGATTTATTCTATATTTATCTGTCACCAACTTTTACTTCTACCATTCATAAAACTAATGATTATGATTTGTACTTAAGAGGGGCAGAATGTATAGAACAAATTAAATAGAAACCTTTAGGTTATTTATTTTATATATTATTTTCATTACAGAAAGCAGTTCAAACGCTGGCAATTTGATGGATTTAGTGGGGAATTTGCCTGAAAAAATTTATTTTTTAATAAGTGCGTGTGGAATTATTGTGTCAGCATATTTTTATGGCTAGTATGTTGTGATGAACCAGATTGCTGAAATGAGAATATTTTGCCATTTTAAAACTTAAGAACCCCCTTTTGAATAATTAATTAAATAATTAAAGTCCCCCCCCCCTTAGCATATGCTTTAAAACACGTGCTTAATATATGTTTAAGAACACGTCCGTGGGTATCGGAGACTCGATATATGTAAGGATATAAACATAGGTGTAATAAACTAGAAGATAGAATATCTGGTTTGCCTTTTTTATTATTGTAACATGATGGAATTTATAAATATATAGACATAAACTTACGGTGAAAACTGAATAAATTTGACTCAAAATTCATAAGGAAAAATTACTTGATTTCAGTTATCAACATTGAGTACATTATGTTAGATAATTTTCAACTTACTGTTTTACTTTAGTTGAATAAAAACTGGCCTTGTAAAAGGAGCACCCTGTACTTTTGTCCATTTACTTCCATTTATTTAAGCATAAAGCCATCTAATCAGGTGGCTTTAAAGCAATTCACATAAAATATATAAGCTAAAACATTGCTCAACATGAAAAATATCTTTTTAAGGGATGAAACATAAGTGCAGGATTTCATAACAAAGTGACTTAGGCTCCTGTGGTATTTAGCTATAAAGACTATATATTTGAGTGTAGTGGATTGATAGTATTCTGTTGTGTAATGTGAGTACCTTCCTGGTGGCAATAAATTCTTTCTCATAAACAAATTCTGTTTTTAGAGAAACATATTTAATTACAGAACGGTTTAAAATAGTATGCTATCATTTGGTGGTATTTCCGGTGGCCATTTGAGTATCATGAAAAATTTTTCTTGCTAGTTTTCATTATTATAAAATCGTGTGCTTCTGAATGCTTCCATGCTGGTGTTTTAATTGAGATTAATTTGATGATTATATATTGCAGAAGTTGCTTGATTTTTTTAGAATCTCTATCTGACATAATACTTACTTATCAAAAGTCTTTGATGATTACAGAAGGATATAGCTAATGAATACTGTTCCAAAGTAGAATTTTTTTTAATCAGCTGTAACTAGTGGAAATATAATTTATGGTCCACACGTAAATATTAAGCAATTTAAATGATCCTAAAGGTCCATATCATCCTTAAAAAGAGCATTTCAAAAATCTTATGGTGGCTGTCCTATTACCTTCTTAAAAACACAGGTTTATTTCGCTTGACCACATATGAATATATATTTTTTATTTAGAGGTAAATGTTACATTAAGGTCATATGGCAAGATTAGCATATGATATTATACAGTTCTCTTAGTTTTTTATCCTTTATTAACAGTCATCTTTGGCTCTATTTCTCCTCTAATTGGAACATCATCTAGCCTTGGCAGTTGAACTATTCAATAGAACGATTAAATTTTTCTGACTGCTCTGAGCTGAATTGACCTGTTTTGACCTGTTTGTCACTGATCGTAACCTGACAGGCGCTAGCAGCCTGCAACGATTATGGCTTTTTGAGATGAATCTGACGCCGTGTTCTTTTGCTACAGCTCGTCACACGAGGAGACTGGGGCTTCTCACACTCTGTACGGCCATGGAGTTTGCAAATGGCCAGGCTGTGAAAGCATTTGTGAAGATTTTGGACAGTTTTTAAAGTAGGTTCCTTACCTTTTTTAGGGAAGGGGGTGGATTATGTGGGAGTGTTAGGCACATTGTTGTAAATAAGACAAAGCTGAAAGGAGGAAGTGAAAGTCCATCCTGGGGCACACTCTGCGCTTCTCTGTGCTCCAACAAGTACGTGGCCCAAGTCGGGCTAAGAAGATGACCTCGTCTTTACCTCTTCATCAAAATATTTTACAAATCACTCAATAGAATTTTTGAATGAACAGAAAATAGTAGCCTAAAGTAATTGTGTCATTAATAATTGGGAGACGTGTGCAGGAGTCTTAATAAATTTCAAGTTTTTAATAAAAATTTTAAGTCAAATTACATGAGGAGTCGTAGAATATATATAATTTCGAACAGACATATTTTACGGATTTATCTTTTTTAATTGCAAGCTTGCTCTTCCTGACTTTAAATAATGATGTTTAACATATTTATATTTAACAATAAGAATGATGACATGAAAGTTAGAAGAGGCTAACATTTTAAGAAATAAATCTATTTCATCTACGTTGTTACTTGTTGCCCTCAGAATCAGAGGGCAATGTGCATGGCTGTATATTTGTATGGTTAGTTACATGGCTTCTCTCGCTTAAAATCAAAATTTGGTGTATCCTTAATTTCTTCCTACAGTGATATATATTTTTTTTAATTTTAAGAGGTTCCATTGCAAATGAGAATATACATCTTTTATGAAACATTCTCCATGCACAATTCTGCTATACAAGAGATCTAAACAGAGAGCTACAGATAGGTTTATGGAGATGAGTAACTTCACAGGCTGAGACTCTTATGTTGTCATGGAGCAGCTAACAGGGTGAATGAACTGTTTCATGCTTCATCAACAATTAAGTTAATTAGCTCATTTGAAATTGCACTGCTTTGTTGCCAGGATGTTGGCAGAAACATCAAAAAGATGTGTTTACAAATGGTAGACTACAGGGTATAAAGTAAAAGCACCTTAACAACAAGCCACAAGTACTTGGCACCATAATAACTTTATAACGGAATTACAGTAAGACTTCCACAAGAATTTTTTTTAACTTTTTCTCATTTCTGACCAATTAAAAGAAAATTTGCTTCCTATGTTACTTTGGCATTTGTAAATGGCCTTAAATTAAAAAAAAAAAAAATTGCACTGCTATTATACCAGAAAAGTAGTGAGCTACCATTTTGTTGGGTATGAAAACTGATTCAACTGTTCTAGGCAAAGAGGGCATTTCAGATGATAGATAACTTTGCTCACATTTTCCTCTCTAAAAAAATAACATTTGTTAAAACAAAGACAAAATATAAGGACATTAATTTTTTAACAGCTAATTTCATATTTCTTCATTCGAATGTATTCATCCTTATCAAAGTGTTATGTTATTCCTTATCATTAAGATTCTTAAGAGGACTGTTGCTGCTATTTCTTAAATATGGCTATTTAAGCTGTAGAATTAGCATGGTCGCTATTTTATTGCTCTAAGTTGTTCTTTCTGACAAAGAATAAGTTTTTAAGAAAATACACAGATTTTTTCCCCTCAGTGTCATTTCCTTTTTAGTACATGGAAAGGAACACTTTTATTCATCTTAAATATTTATATATATTTTTATTACTAACAAGCAGATGAATATGAACCCTCCTTTTATGCTCCACGTTTCTTTCTCACATTCATGCTAGTATGTTTTAGAAACTAAGAGAAATTATAGGTGGATGGGGCAGAAAGAAAGAAAGAAAGAAAGGAAGAAAGAAATTACAATTAAAAAGCATTTCCTTTCAATTAAATACCAACTTTGGTTCCAAAGGCTATTTTTCCAACCCATTAACTTTATAGAGATGACAGAACAAATGACAGTAGATTGTAAGGTCTTTCTTTTAGTCCATTTTTGTTATGATATGCTTTAGATTCTCTTACTCAGAGATCTGTGATAAATTCTGTTAATAGAGGTAATGCCGGTCCAGTACTGCAAAAAAGTATGTATCAAATACATTTCCATACTGGTATTGTCTTTTTCTTAACATGTGTGGGAAATTTACGAAGACATAATATATTTTATTAAGTTAATCAATTTCAGTTATTCAGAAAAAAGTTTAGTGTCTGTGTGGAAAACGAAATGAAGAAGACACCACCACTAATACGGATTTTCTCAGAAAGAAGATTTTGCTTTTCTTTTGTAATACTGGGGAGAATTGAGTCTTAAGGGAAACGAAAGTCAGACAAGTCAAAAAACTGTGAAAGGTTTTTAGCTCCTAGTTTTCTTGTTTTACTCTTCTCCAGAAACTTTGTATCTAGTGTTTATTATAAAAAGTTTTCTGAGAAAATATTGTTGTGGAATTTTTATTTCTGAAGTGCACTAGAAATAAATGTATAGCTTGAGCTTTCCCTTTGGTATCAGATAATGTATCCGTTAGTTTGAAATAAAAGGAATACATTCATTATTACTATTTAGCCTATATATGTTAAATAACGAAGGATAGTAGAAAATACATTAAGAGTCCCAAATCCCCTTTCTCACATCACATTCCCAAACAAACTGGTAGAAACCCTCTGTGTTTGCCCAGCACCAAATGAAAAACCAGCAGAGGGCAGTTGCTTATGTATAACCTACTTATTTTTCATC